GCTCCCTAATACCCAGAAAAGAATACTTCCGCTTAGAGTCATCAGAGGGAACTCTGTGTAACAAGAAGCAAATAACTGAGTATATGTCTAGTGCAAGAAACTAGGGCGGGGGCTTTGGAGGTCCTGGGAAAGGGGGTGAGGGCAGCACCCCCATTGGCAGCAGTCTAGAAGCAAGCTCAGTCCCGGATGTGAAATACAGAGGGCCTGCATGGGGACCAGTGTCAAACCACAGGACGCCAGGGCTCAGCGAACGGCCACTTCCATCGTCTCTGTATTTCAATTTGTGCACTTCAATGTAGAATTATAAAGCGGAATAAACGCCATATCCATTAGCATCTTTTGTTTTCTTTTTGCTTTCCATGAATTCAATTGTACCTCTATTCCATTCGACTTCTTCTCTTGAATATCAATCATATTTCCTTTGTTATATTGTTGACCAGTTCCCCTTCCAGTCTGCAATATACATTTTCAATAAATCCAACTTCCAACAACATTATTCTGCTTCACATATGGTGTTCAGTTAGCTGATAATTCCAAAGCATTCTTAACTTCTGTCACATTGTTTTATATTATAGCGTTGCCTTTTTCCTTAAAATTAATTATAGCACTTAGAACAAATCTAATTTCCTTAAGAGTTTTCATCTTCGTGCTTCTGTTTCCCACGTGGTCTTTCATGGTGCACACTTCTTCCACTAAGGCCCTCAACGTATTTCTCAGTTATTTTTGTCCCCTACTTTGCAATTCTAACATTTGCACCATGTCTGTTGCTGATGGTCTAGTTTTTCCTTGTATTTTTGCATGATTTGCAACTAGAGTTAAAAGACTGGTATCAGGTAAGAGAAACTGATTAAAAAGCTCTGTACTGTGAGGATTTATATTAGCCTCGCTTGGAGCTGGACTGTATTTAATGTTTGCTGCAGACGTCGGTGCTAGAGGCTTCTAATTTCTCTTTGGGTTTTTGCTAAGAACTTCCTTAAATCTCTTTGTGCCTTGCAGCTCTTCCAACTGCAACTCACTGTTATACTTGATTCCCAGTACTATGGAGAGGCATGAGAGAAGAAAAGCATCCGTGAATTTTATAACCAACCTTTTTCTGCAGTCCTGTCTGCCAGCTCTGACCTTCAGATCACGATCACGACCATCCTGTTATTCGTTGATTGCCTTGAGCAGGCCCCAGTAATGTCTCCTTCGTCCTAGGCCTGAGATTTTTTAAAAAGTGCCATACTCAAGGCTCTTTCAGAGTTAGGAGATTGAGACCCATCATTGTTACTGGTATTTGGCATATTGGGTACACCACGGGGAGCTTGTCAGACTCTGCTGTGTGGGCAGGTTACATTCGGTAGCCTGCCAGTTTGTCCAAAGTAGGAATGAGATAATAAGATGTCGCATGGCCGCGAATGCTGCAGCGCGCTTCTGGGAGCTGGGTTTTATAGTCTTTGAGTCTTGGCCGTTGATGGGATTACACAGCGCCAGGGGGCCAGTTGGTGGGTGTGACCCCCGCCTACTGGAATTTGGAGGATCTGGGTGGAGGATGCTCAGCCCCGATCCGAGTAGGCTTGGAGATCTCAGTCCCGGGACCCGCATGCCTTTGTTCCTCTGCCGATATCTTCATGTGTGCGGAGAGTGGTCTCAGCATGTTGGTGGCTGGTTCTGGAGGTCTTTGGCTGCCGGAGCCCTGGTCAGGGCAGGGAGGAAAGCTCAACCCGCTCCCCTCCAAGGGGCCCCGGTGAGGACAGCCAGGTGCGGGGGCAGGAGACTGCACTGTTCTCTTCCGGGAGCTGGGTTTTTATAGTCTCTGAGCTTCAGAATTATTCCTATTTCAGGGGCCTGAGTGAGAACAGTGGGTAGGGTGTTTGCCTTGCATACACTGACCTGAGTTCAATTCTCTGGACCCTGTGTGGTCCTCTGAGCTTCACCAGGAGGGATCCCTGAGCATGGAGACAAGAGTCAGCCCTGAGCACTACTGGTGTGGCTCACAAAGAAAGAAAGAAAAATGTTTTTTATTTTTATATCCATGACACTTTGGGAGCTGGAATTTCCCCCAGGTGGGATAGGGTTTGGCAAAGCTTTTTCACTTAGAGAGACAGCTTGTTGTGCAGAATGTCCTGGGACTATTTCAAATCCTTGCTTTCTCCTCCACAGCTTGTCTTGACTCTACAATATGGGTGGGTGCTACAGGTAAAACCTGTAAAAATTCGGGAAGCCCTTAAAACTGGCCTTTCGAGCTCGCCCACCGCAGCCCCTGCCCCACAGATGTGACGGCAGCTGGTATCTTCAGATTTCCGGATTTCCCTCCAGTCTCAATTCTCTGATGAGTACAGGAAAAGGCTGTGGGTTGTTTTATTGTTTGTTTGTTTAACGTTAACAGGGTTTTTTTCTTGTAAGGCAGAAGAGATAGCTGGTAGTCTAACTGTGTAACTCTGAGTTAATTCCTCTGAGTTCATTTCTCTATTTTTGACATGGGTGATACAATAATAACAAACTTTTATACCCACTAGGGTGTTGTTATTATTAGTTATTTTGGGGGCCACACTAAGTAGTGTTCAGAGCTCACTCCTGACTCTGGCTCGGGGGATAAGGGATCACTCCTGGCAGGCTCTGGAGATCGTGTCGGATGCCTTGGATCAAATCCAGCTGATCACATGCAAGGCAAATGCCCTAACCCCCTGTACCATTGCCCCAGCCATATCATGGTATTATCCTAAGAAAATTCTTTATAAATATCACTGTCGTCATGTTGTTCATCAATTTTCTCGAGTGGGCACCAGTAACGTCTGCATTGTGAGACTTGTTATTGTTTTGACATATCGAATATGCCATGGGGAGCTTGCCAGGCTCTCCAAGAGGGACGGAGGAACAGAACCCAGGTCGGCCACGTGCAAGGCAAATGCCCTACCCACTGTGTTATCGCTCCAGCCCAAGTCCTTCTGATCTTTATATATATATATATATATATATATATATATATCTTTATATCATGGGTTTTCATCAGTTTGTCACTACAGCATTGTGTTTGTGGAGCTGTCACCAAAATAAGTGTATCAGATCAGTAATGACATTTTTCAGCTCCTTTGAAATTTCTCTGTCCCAGGAGAGGAACAGCCCCAAGTGTATCCTCTCTCCATAATCCTGCTCCTGAGGCGCCCGTGCCCTGCCCCTTCCCCATGAAAGCAGATGAGCCAAGAGCCTTGGGCACAAGGAAACCACAAAACAGAAAATTCCTCATCTACAAGGATCAAATGATCAGATTCTTCCGTGGGTTCTCGTTAGTTTTGTTCTTTTCTTTTTCTTCTGCTACAAATACTTTCCATACACAGTCCATTAGCTGCAAGGTCATTTTTAGAGTAAAAGATAAAATAAGTGGTAGACAGTTTACTTTGACAGTTTGGTTTGGTGGTTTGGCTTCAATTTTCACAGCACTCCCACAACTGCTGGGGTCGGGTCTCCCAGCAGGGGCCAGTGGAGCTGGGTGTCATCCGCAGTGGTGCTGGGCAAACAGGCTGAGGGTCTGACTGAGGCCTGAGGACTTAGCGCTTCTCAGGTGCTGCAGTGACGAGACCCACCCCAGCCACCCCACAGTGCTCGGTGGTCCGAGCACACCCAGAGATACCAAGAAGGCCATGTGGTGCCAGGAACTGAAGGTGGCCCAGCAAGGACAACTGAGCCCTGACCTCTGTGCCATCTCCCCCAGGGCCTCATTGTTATTCCATATCAGTCTTCGCCCTTTTTGTGGCCTCTGCAGGCGTGAGGAGATGAGGCAGCCCAACAGCTGTGGATCACTCTGCGATTAAAAGAATAAAACCGAGCATTCAGGACCTTAGGACCTGGGATGTGGCCAAAGGTGCAGGGCACCCACCTGGCCAGCCTGAGGCCCTGAGTCCACTCCGTTTCCCTGCAGCCTCCAAGCACTGCCGGAGGGATCTGGGAGCCCTGGACCCCGCTGGCCGTGACCCCTAGTACAAAAGCTGAGCTTGTGGGTTTCACACAATAGGGTGAGCCTGAGTCTGAACCCTTTATTTGTCTGGTAAAGGGCTTGGGGAGGGAAGGGCTGCGGGGCCTGGCGCCTGGGTGTGGTGTGGTGACACTGTGCCCGAGACCCAGGAGCAGCCATTCTGCACCCAGCGTCACCGCCAACAGAAACACAAGACCCAAGAGTTAACCCAGATGCTGACGGGGAAGAGATGAGGCGGGAACGAGTGCTGGGCGTGGTGCGGCAGCTGCCCCCTCCCCCCAAGGCCTGCTGGAGAAGGCTCAGGACCCTCCTGTGTCAGCAGGGGCAGGGCGGGGAACCCTTGTGGGACCTGCTTCCGAGCGCCGGGCCTCAGCAGCCCACTCATTCTGCCCGCAGCACCGTCTGCCACTTCCTGCAGGGCCCAGACTGAACGCGGGGGCTGGAAAGTCTGCTGGTCAGTGCCTGGATGGGGCAGGGCGACCCTCCAGACCCCCAGCCCCAGCTGACTGCAGGACCCAGCTTCCTACTGGTCCAGGTCTTGAGGGGGCCACTGACCTCAGTCACCTGGGACCACCCGACCCCAGAGAAGCTCCGCTGTGCCAGAAGCTCTGGAAATTCCCAACGGGACAGGCCGGACTGACTGGGCCTCTGGGCAGGGGACAGGACAGGCTCGCTCTGGGCCTCTGTGAGGGAGACAGGACAGGCTCGCTCTGGCCCTGTGCAGGGGACGTCCCCAGGGGGCAGGTGCGTGCTCCTTCTGTCAAGGCAGCGGGAGGAGTGAGACCACCTCAGCAGAGGGGGCCTTTCCATGGCTGCTGCAGGGTGAGGACCAGCGGGTGTGAGAGCCTACGTCATGGACACAGTCTCCTTGAGAAAGTGGCCCTCAGCCTGGAGAGGACATGCCCTAACTACACGCCGGCAGCCGGCCTTCGGCTGCTCAGAGAAGATGCTCTGTTTTATTTTCACTGGCTTTAAGACCTCAAGTCACTCACACTTAAGACCATCACTCACACTGGACACTCGTGTCAGAAAGAGGCCACAACTCCACTCACCAGGAAATGGCTGACAAGACTTTGCCAAAACTTTATGGAAAAACAACTCAGATGTCCCACCGTGCTGGGGGGGAGGGGGGGAGCAGGGCCACGCTGACACCTCCTTGCCTCCCTCTGCCCACTCCCCCTCGGCCAGCATCCCCCAGAACTGGCCCGGGACTGCGGCCCCTCAGGCTTGGCACATTCTGTAAACTTGTTTCCCTGGCACCCTCACATCACTGGGCTGTGAGGAGGAGCCCCCGGGCCTGGCCTGTCCCCGGTGCCCACGTGCTGGCGGGTGGGCGAGTGGTGGCTGCCAGCCTGGATCTCGCTGCTGTGAGTGTGATCGCACCCGCAGCCATGTGGGCCGGCTGATGGCGTGATCCAGTGGGTGATGGCGGGACCACATTTGCTGAGATGAGAGGCACACGGCCAGGCAGAGGGGACGGGGACAGGAGGTGGACGGCCGTCGGAGGGCGTCCACAACCCCACGCCATGTTCTCTCCCAGGCCCCAGGAAGAGCCCTTCCCGGGCGGGCCTGAGAGCCCAGATGAGCAGCTCGGGGCCTGTCACCAGGGAAGCATGTTCCCCTGTGCTGGCACCGCCCTGGGGCAGGGTCTTCCGCCGGCCTCGTGGCCCTGCAGACCACCAGCCGCCCGTCTCTGCTGCGGGCACTGGGCACTGCTCCTGCCACCCACAGGTGCCCAGTAGGGCAAGCTCACAGACAACGCCTCGTCTGTCGGGCTGTGGGAGCTGAGGGGCTGCATCTTCCTCCCCGTGGGCCTGAGGCCAAGCCCAGGAACAGGGGCAGGCGGAGGCAGCACAGGACAGGGCGACCGGCAGCCCTCAGGAGACACCTAGGCTCGTTCAGAACCCCCCTCTGGGCCAGGCCCAGTCAGTCCAGTAGGAAGTCTGGCTTCTGGTACCCAAAGAGCCTAAAGTCCCCCTCGAAGCGCGCGTACAGGCGCCGGATATCGCGCTTGCTGACGCCCAGGAAGTAGTGCTCGACCTTGGTTCTGTTGTACGCAGTGATGCCGGGGGGGATGGCGGGGTAGGACACCAGGTGGTCGATGCCCGCCTCCCTGAGGATGTAGGGCGCGTCGTCCTCCAGGGTCTCGTGGTGGCCCACCACGCTGTAGGTGATCTCGCAGGGGGCGCACAGCTCCACGTACGTCACCCAGTGGATGATGTGCTCCCCGAACTGCAGGTCCAGCCGCCGGTGGCTGGGGTCGCCCAGGTAGCGCACGAAGTCCTCGAACTGGATGCCTCTGGTCTCGGTCCGGTTCCGGCGGTACTTCCTGATGATGCCGGGGGCGATGAGGTGCCGGTACCAAGGCTCGAAGCGGGGGTTGTGGACGAACTTGTCCTTGAAGGCCGAGATCAGCCTCTCGAAGGGATCCCTGACGATGAAGAACTTGAAGTATGTTTTCAAGCTGGGTCGGGGAGGAAAAGCAAGAGGTCAGCCCAGAGTACAGCTGGCTGCTCGGGAGGAGGGAAAGGCTGACGGAGAAGGAGAAGCCGCGACTTCCCCTGCCCCTTCCTGAACAAGGCTGTGCCCTGGCACGCTCCCCACGGCCTCCACCCCCTCCTGCAGCCACGCTCTCGGTGCCCCCTTCGTCAGGGGCGAAATAAAGACCCGGGAGCCAAGGCCTCCCCTCCTGGGGACCACAGCTGTCTGTCCTGCACTTGGCTCTCATTGAGAGTTTCAAAACTTCAAGACTATTTAAAACTTTGTTCCTGGGTAGAAAGTCGTAAGGGGGCAGGCATGTCTCAATAAGGAGCACTGTGGGCCCCTTTCTCCATGCCACGATACACACGAGTCTTTCTGCCCCGAGCAGTCCGGGCCACCTTCCCCTCGGGGGCAGCCCCTGTGGCATGGAGGAACGACCTTTGGGGAAAGCAAACACCTCGGTGTGCGTCCCCGACGCCCGTCCCCCTTTCCTGTGGGATCGAGGTGACTTCACAGGCCCACACCGAGCAAACTGACTGCTCATTTTCATTAAGAAAATGACATCACCTTCATTCCACGGCCTGTCAGAAGGTAGGAGAGGAAGGCACGCTCTCCCACAGGCCTGCAAACCCAAACAAAGGCCATGCCGGTGGCCGCGCCTACCGCTTCTGCACCTCCGCTCTGCTGAAGGACGAGAGGCGAGGGAGCCCGTTCCGCTCGTGATCGTGGACCAGGTTCTCAGGGATGTCCTCGATGGAAGGAAATGCTCCTGCGAAACCAAGAAGGAGGAGGGGCTGGCCCGAGACCACCTCCAGCTCACGCCCCGTTCCCCTCCTCCCTGAGCCACATGCAGGCCGTGGAACTTCTTCTCTTCCTGCCAGCCGGGCGTGGGGAAGGGAAAGCTTGGAGGCAGGGACAGGAGGCAGAAACCGGGTAGACACAGGAGCAGGACCTCCCCCTGGCAGTGCACAGGAAACGTGGATTCAGTTCCACATTTCAGACAGATGCCTATGCAAACTGCGCCACGCTGGCCCCCTGGGCTCCTGCCCTGGGACGGTGTTGAGGGGCTGCAGCCCACACAGGCCTGCCCGCCCGGCTCTGGCACTGCACGCCCAGGATGAAGGAGCCTCAAAGGCAACTGCATGCCAGACAGGAAGGGGCAGGGACGTGCTGAAAAAATCCGACTCCAGTCTCGGGTTCAATGTGACATTCGTGCATTATGGTCAGTGGCGGTCAAGAGGAGCTTGGGAGGAGGCAGGCTGCAAGGACCCGGGGGCAACCATGCTGGGTGGGCACTATGGACAGCCAGACAAGCGGAAAGACAGCATGTGGGAGCGAAGATGAACTGGGCCCCTGGGTCCAACCCGGACACGATGGGGATGGTGTCTGCTGGGGTGTCCACGCGGCCACACCCAGCCACGCCCGCTCCAAAGGCTCAGCTTGGGCAGGCGGGTGCAAAGCACCGGCTGGTGGCCAGGGTGGGATGGCCATGCCCTGGGAGGGGCCAGCGGGGCCACCCTCCCTTCTCTGCTTTTACATGTGACCATGGAGACAGGTGGTCCTTCCTCACCCTGCTGGCAGCTGAAAGGTCTGGATCCATCTCACAATCTCCAATGGGAAATGATGGCCCACATTTACCATAAAGCAGAAGGTGAGACTCAGTGTCCCCTTTCTCCCCACGACATCAAGAGCCTATGCCCATGGCCCAGGCTGGGGTCCAGCAGGTGTGGCCAGAGCCCACAGCAACCAAGCCTAAAGGAGAGTCACCAGCATCCAGCGCCAGGGGTGCAGCCTCACTCCTGGGGGTCTCTGGGGGACTCTAACATGGCCCTGAGCCTTTCAGAGACAATCAAATCCAGGAGCCTCGGGGTAAACTGGGCAACTTCTCCCGAAAGGCCAGCCCACAGATCCCACAGCTGGGCCGTCTCCCCACTCCCGCTGGGGCGGGGACATCCTGGCTCTCCAGGACAGGTGGGGGACTGGGGAAGCCATGGGCTACCCTGGGGCCCCTGGGACGGGCGTGGATCCGGAGAGGAGCCGGCCTGGGGAGCCTCTGGCCCCGAGTCTGCACCGGCCCCCTCCCGGGCCGTCAGAGGCCGGCCTGGTGGGGCTGACCCCCGAGCCCATGTCCAGGGCTGGCACGCACCATTGAGCACCATCAGCACCTTCTTCCACTGAGTGTTGCCAACTTTGGGTGTCTGGCAGAAGAGGATCTTGTGCTTGTCACACACGAATATCCGGTCCAGGACGAACTTGGAGACGACCGTGTGCGACAGGTTCCTCAGGGCCTCTTCCCGACACACGTTCCTGAGGAGCTCCAGCCGCTCCATGTAGACGAGCGGGTGCACGAGCACGCTGGCCGAGGGCAGCTTCTCGGTTGGCTGCACGGGGCAAGGCCGAGAACGGGCTGTGGGCAGCACGCAGGAGGGGCCATGCACAGCCAGGGGCCAGGGTCTGACCCCCTGGGCTGCTGGGCACGGCCAGCTCTGGAACACTTCTGACCTCGCCGAGACCCCACTCCCAGCAGGCTCCTTCCCAGGTGTTTCGGGGATCCCACCCAAGCACCCAGGGCAGCCGTGGCACTAACAGACCTGCACACGAAGGGTGCCCACGCCTGCCCCAGACAGAAACCAAAACGGGACAGAGCCAAAGGAGTGACCGAAGCAGGACGGGAAAGGGGTGATCATGAGGCGGGACAGGAGAGCAGGACCCAGCTGCAGCGACGGGGGTGAGCTGGGTGGACTGAGGGGGCACATGTCTCTTTGCGGGTGGCAAGGGGAGGGGACGTGCCCACCTTCAGGTCCTTAAGGAAGGGCTTCTGTCCTGGGAGCCCCCCGGAGTCCGGCACGGCGGTCAGGAAGAGAAACTCCTGCCTGGTGCTGTAGGCTGGGGGAGACAGAGAGCCGTCACTGCAGCTGCCGCGGGCACACGGCCCAGGGGCTCCTGAAGCAGCCGAGAGAACGTTCCCTGGCAGCAGAGTCAATCTCTAACTTTGACACATCACAGTCAGGGCCCTGGCCAGCCCGGCCTCAAGCGCAGCACCCCTAACAGTGCCCGACCGCTCTGGAGGTGACGGCTGAGCACTGAGCCAGAAGTCTGCCTTCAGCCCCCCCCCCCCGAAAAAAAAAAACAAACCGAAAATGAAAACAGATCAAAAACAAAGTCACATCTTAATCATATATGAAATCAAAACGGATCGTGCTTAACATACACCTAACTATAATATTTTGGTTAAAGAAGGGGGGGTGCGGTGCTGGGGAGAAGGCACAGTAGGCAGGGTGCTGGCCTGCAGGCAGCTGACCCGGGTCAATCACCAGCACCACGTGTGATCTCCAAGCTCTGCCAAGGTACGATCCCCAAGTGCGGAACCAAGAGTGAACCCCAGGCAAACAAGGTCTGTCTCGAAACAGAGAGCAATGCAGCTGGGGTGCAGCTATCCTGCTCAGGGGAGCAGAAGCGGCAGAGGCCCCGGGTCCCAACCTCGACCCTGCCATCCCCCTCTGTCCCTCCAAGAAAGACAAAACGAACCTCGTGGAACCGTGAGCCTCTTCTTCTGCAACAAGGAAAGAATGGAAAGACCAGCTGCAGATGGGCAGCGAACCTGCAGATCATACATCGGATGGAGGGTGTGGGACTAGACCACGTCCAATTCCAAAATACAATGAGAAAAGTGAAGAACCCGGCCAGTTAGTCACAGGCAAGAGTGTGGCAGGGCAGGCCTGGGCTGAAGAGGATGGACCGACGGCCACAAGGCACAAAAGGAAAGTCTGCACCAGGCAAGTACAAACGAACACCAGGAGGCGACACCTCATTCCCATCAAAAGGCCTCCAATAAAGACGCAGAAACTCAGGGCTACAGAGAGGAACGGTGGGCAGGGCACCTGTCTTGCACGGGGCCAACCCAGGTCCAATCCCTGGCACCCAATATGGTCCCCTGAGCCTGCCCAGAGTGACACGAAAATGAGGAACCAATAGTGAGTCCTAACCCTGCTGGAGTGGCCCCCAAACAAAGCAAACAAACAAAAAACTTCAAATGCATAAATTCCAAATGCTAGCAAGGATGTTGAGAAATGACATACATGGCTGATGATACTGCTAAACGACATATTTCTTTTTTTTTTCTTTTTGGGTCACATCCAGTGATGCTCAGGGGTCACTCCTGGCTCAGCACTCAGGAATTACTCCTGGTGGTACGCAGGGGACCATATGGGATGCTGGGAATTGAATCTGGGTCAGCCGTGTGCAACGCAAACGCCCTACCTGCTGTGCTATGCCTCCAGCCCAAGTCTGGCAGTTTCTTAAAAAAAAAAAAACTGAACTAAGCATGTGACTACCATATGATCCAGCATTTTTAAGGCATGAAGCCCAGAGAAATGAAAATGTATATTCACGCAAAAAATGCGTACTCAAAGTTTGCAGCAGCTTCATTTATAATAGCACCCAAGTGGAAACAACTCAGATGCCCTTCACCAGGTGAATTTGGAATCGCAAGCAAGGCATCTTAGGGGGGACCGGAGGGGGCGGGGAGAGACCAGGGGGACGGTCGGTCAGTATATAGGACTAATGTTGTTTATTCTCACCGCTTCTAAGGAAAACAAAGCAAGCAGTCAAGTTATCACTGATACTCTAGCTTAAAAGTTCGTGGGCACCGAGATTCGATTAGTGGCAGTGTACTAAATCCTGTACAGAATTAACAATGTACAATGAACTGTCTTCTGGCAAAGCTTTGGGGGTAGAATTTGAAGATGGTGTTTAGATCTCTATCTACAAAGATACTTTCCAAAGCTGACAAAGCCAAGAGCAGAATTGGGGGGGGGGGGGGAAGCAGCTCTCAAACAAAAACAAAACGATCTTACCAAGCCTATTTCACATCTTAAAAATCAAGCCTCGGGGCTGGAGCAACAGCGGGTACAGGGTTTGCCTTGCATGCGACCAATCCAGGCTTGATTCCCAGCGTCCCATATGGTCCTCTGAGCACCACCAGGAGTAATTCCTGAGTGCATAAGCCAGGAGTAACCCCTGTGCATCACTGGATGTGGCCCCAAAAGCCAAATAAATAAATAAATAAATAATTAAATAAATAAAACTCAAGCCTTCTCATGGAGTCGGGAATGGGTGACCTTCCCCAGCCCCCTGTTCTTCCTGGAGCCTGGCAGTCACGCCCACGAACTGCCTCTGGAACCATATAAGCTCATTGACAGCGATGGTCCAGAAACTTGGAAATAAATCTCAAATCTCAGAAGAGAGCAACACCACAGAGATGCCCTTGGGCCCCAATGTCACCATCCAGCTAAAAATTTAGTTCCATCATCCCACTTAAGATGTGAGAATTCCTGGAGCGTTCAGATGCATTCACAGGTGTGTGATACTCATACTCGACACCCCTGATGTTCCAGGAGTAGCTCACCACATTTGATGGGGTGTAAAGTACAAGGCAACCAGTCTCAGTCAAAAAAAAAAAAAGAAAGGAATTAGCACAGAAGGCTTAACCTGTAAAATATGCTGGAGATCACTTTTACAAGGGTTTAATGGCTCCAGGATGAGATACAATAATCTTCACATATTTTCCTCTAAGGGTACTTTTTTGGGATGATTTTTAGCAGATTATTTACAAGCAATATGGAATAAATCATTTAGGACCTGCTTTGGGGGCAGGTTTTGGTGGTAGTGGGAAAATTTGAAATAACGGTGGTGGGATTGGTTTTGGAATATTGAATGTAATAAATTATTTTGAACAACTTTATAAAAATAAAATTGAGAAAGTAAAAATAAATAATAAATGAATGAATAAATAAAATAAAATAAAAATCAAGCCTTCTCCTCTTGGACTGGCTGGCAACCTCCCCACGCACTTTTTCTCTTCTCTGTGCCCAGAGTACAAAAACACCTTTCAAGAGCCCTGAAGGTACACACAATTCCATCTCCCCAACGATGATACACTTGACGAATCCCACTATTTTTCTTCTTTATGTCTCGAATAAAAAAACCCTAATTAAAACTGGCAGGCAGAAGCTTCTCTGTACTTCTAACCAGCACCAAGAGCACTGTGGAAGTGCAAAAAGAGGCAAAACCTCCAGAAGTCAGCCCACAGAGCTCCCAGTGCACCCTGCAGCTCTGAGGCCGATCTCTGTCCTGCCCCTAAGAACCGGTTCCCTCTGAGCACCAGCAAGTCGACTCTGAACACTCCACCCCTGTCAGTTCACCTAATTCCAAAGGTGTCTCGGCCACAGTCTGAATGGGTTTCTAAACACCTGAGCTTCCTCTGTAACAGTTTAGAGAGGAATCCCACTAATTATTTTTCTTCTTTATGTCTTGAATAAAAAATAATCCTAATTAAAGCTGGTAGGTAAAAATATCTTGAATTCTAAAGCAAGTGACTTATCCATGTACTTTTGAAAAGCGACCTATTTCACCCTCTCAGCTGCACAGAAAACAGGCACTGGCGGCGGGGGTCTCTGTCCTCGCCTTGACACTCTAAAGCCAAATTTCAGGACTGAGGGTTCTGATTCTCTAACATAATCTTTTGCCTTTCAAACAGATTAACTCACTTCTGTTAGAGGAATAATTACAAAGTTTGACAAATCGTCTTTAAATGGTATGTTATGTAACCAGGTGATGAACTATGAACCCTGTTTTCTGAGACACTCCCAAGCTCACTCTCTCCCCGAGCGGGTTTACCAGCTGTCCCCCGTAAGACTCAATGCCGTTCTATCCTCTGTCTGGCATACTCTGGGCGAGGGCATGCAAAGACATACAAACCCTGACTTTGCCCTCGTAGGCTTCCCAACAGAATAGGAGGGTTGAAGAGAGCCCCGAGGTCAGCAGTCACAAAGGAGAGAAAACAATCTCTCTACACAGATACCAGAGACATAGGATGCCACTCCGGCCATGCACACTTGGGGTGTTTCCGGATCTCGGCTATTGTGAAGAATGCTGCAGTAGGAAAGCAAATGTGTTTTTGAATAGCGTTTTGGAGCAGCTCTTAGGGAAGACGCCAAGAAGAGGAATTTCTGGGTCAGAGGAAGCTCAATTCCTGGTTTTCTGAGAAGTGTCCCTATTGTTTTCCAAAATGTCTGCACCAGTCAACATTCCCAACAGCAGGGAATAAGGGTTGCTTTGTTCCCACGGCCCCTCCAACACGGATTATTTTTTCACTTGTTCTTTCGTGATGTATGTCAGTCTCACTGGTGTGAGATAGTATTCCATTGTGCTTTCATTTGCATTTCCCTGACTTGTTTTGGAGAACATTTTTTCATGCAACTTTTGGTCACCTGTAAGAAGGAAGAACCCTTAACAGAAGTGCACTGAAAGTCCAAATGCAGATCCTCACTGCGGAAACAGGTAATGCGTGATAAAAGAGCAAAAAAGTATAAAATGGAGCAAGGGATGCCTCTTCAGCAAATGGCGATTTTGAAAGATCTGCCTTTGGAAAACTATTGGGTCATACGCAAAGAAAAAAATTAAAAGAACCCTTCCTAACAACACGCACAAAGGTCACATCAAACTGGATCAGAGACCTTGATATAAAAGTTTAATCCATAAGCTGTACCGAGGTGAAACACAGACAGAACACCTCATGCCATAGAATCTAGAGAAATCTTCAGTGATTCAATGCCACTAGTCAAACAAACAGAAGCAAAGATAAAGAAATGGGACTGTACCGAGCAAGAGAGCTTCTACATCTCAAGGAAGCAGAATAAGGACAGCTCACAGACTGGGAGAGGCTGTCTTCCCGCATTCACACCCAAGATACAGAAAACACTAGTAGAACTTTACCAAAAAATAGAATAAAATGAAAACCTCAACCAACTCGATCCAAAAGGGTGGTGGTGGGGGGAGAGATGAACAGAAACATCCTCAAAGAAGAGATCGAGAGAGTCAACATGTTATTTTCAAAAGAAAAGAAAAAGCAGCAGTGATATTTTTTAAAAAATTCAGAAAAATCTAATTTTCCTCAATTGATTAAATATACCAAAATACCTCCACATTGTCAAGTGTCTATAAAGTACTTCACAATGAACACTGGGTTCAAAGTAAAGTCGTCATCAGAAATGCACTGAATAAACTTCACTGCCGACCACCCTCATGGCCACAAAGCTCCTTGCCCACTGGAGCACACTCCCCAAGCTCAGTCAAGGCAGAGGCGCCTTCGTTCTCTGCAGGCCACACCGGATAGTGGTCAGGGCTCATTCCTGCGGGCCCAGTGGGTCAGAGGGGGTGCCGGGGATCAACCTGGGTGAGTCCGAGGCGAGGTCAGCGAGCACCCCAGCCGCTACACTACAATCCGGCCCCCACCCAGCTCTCTTTAGGTCCCAGCTGGACGCCCACCCATGTCAAGAAGGGAAGCAGCTCCGAAGGGTGGCACAGAGGCGTGGGCATCCCCAGGCCTGGCAGTGTCTCTTGACCACACAGGCTGCTGGACGTGGGGCTGGCAGGGTGGTCACCAAAGACGCCCACCAAAATCATTTCCCTGAGTCACGGCACCCTGCAACCTCGCTGTCAGGTGGAGGGTCAGACGCCAGGGCCCCCATGGTCTCTTCTGGCACCGAGAGCTGGGGGACACATGACAGAGGCTTCTGGGCATACCCCTAAGCCCCAGCCGTAGCTGGATTCCCCCACACCCATTCCCTGTAGAAAGCGCACCTACCATCGGGGTCTTTAAAGGTCAGCGTGATGAACTTGCTGGCCACCATGAACATGAAGAGCACCCAGAAGCAGATGGCCAGGAGGAGCCACTGCTGGTGCATGTTGTCGGATGTCGGCCATTCAGCGACTGTGGGGGGAACACGAGAGTCAGCCGTGCGGGCACAGAGGACTGCACAAAGGGGCAGCCGCCGGGTGAGCTCTGCAGGGCATTCAGTGACTGCTGATAGTTCCGTGGAAGGGGGCGGGCGACACTCTACTTTTCATCAGTGACTTACCATTGTGGGAATCAGTCAAATCAAATGAAAAGCATGTAAATGGGAAGGAATCGCTTCTGTTCGTTTTCAGAAGACGTGATGTTTCTAGTCTTGCCGAGTTGTCCCCCAAACTCCTTTCTGATCCAGGCTAATATCAAATATGTCTTGGCCTCGACAGAAGCCAGCCCCTACAGGGGAGCGGCCAGGACCAACCGCGGCTGCGGGTCACTGGCAATGCCGAGGGTGCTGTGTTAGAGGTCCCCACCTACTGACAAGCTTACATACCTGGAGGACTGCTGGGCTGCAAGCGGCTCAGGGCTCCGTGGGAGAGGTCTTCACCCCCGCGGGGCCAGCTGGGTGTGTGTCTGCCTCCATGCTGCCCAGCTGTCTCGCCCCCAGGGCTTCATGCAAGCCTGTGTCCTGCTTCAGACATGGGAAGGAGCAGGTCACAGTCTGTCTTGGGAGGGAAAGGGAACCGTGCGCTCATCAGCTTCCACACAGTGTCTCTCAGCCGCAAAGAACTAGCTCGCAAGACAGTGCTCAGGCCACCCTGCTCCCCAACTCCTGAACGGGAGAAGAGGCTGCGCCTCCTGCCCACCTGCGCTGGCAACCCCTGGTGCAGCTCCCAAGGCTGGAAGTACACACCCAGGGGCTGTCTGGCCTCAGCGCAGACATCCTGAGACCCCGATTCCCTCAACAGAGCAGGCAGTTATCCCGCCCAACCTGAACAAATGTTGTGCCGACCCCCACCCTGACTGTGCCCTAGGGGACAGCTCAAACGTCCCCTCTGTCACCCGCAAGGACTCCAGTGAACACGCTGTCCCTGCCAGCTGGTCTAAGTGTAAAGTGTCCACGACCCGGACTCGCTCTTTAAGAGGCGACTCTGAGTCTGGGGCCCCTGCCCAGCCCTCTCTTCAGACAAGCACCCCAATATGGAGACCCCGAGACACAGGCCTGGGGCTGGATCACAGCAGACACCTGATGCACACAGCGACCAAACAGTGATGGCTTGGTAAGTTCAGACCCCGCTCTACATTGCTGCTGTCTCTGAAAGATGCACATAGCTGACATGTTTGTAACCGCTACAAGTGGTTCTATCACGGCTTCCAGTGCAAATTCTCCCTCTCCTGCGTTTTCCAAAGAACACCTGTCAATTCATTTTGCTCGGCAGCCAAAAAACATTCCTGCCAGTGGCTCCCTGCCCCCACCTCTGAGCTGTGGCCCAATAACACAGACTCTGAGTCCACTGCCATGTGTCACTTTCATCTTTCACCATCACTTTTGCTTATTAAAGGATCTGAGGAGTCCGGCCGCGAATGAACCTCGATGGTACCGTCTACAGCAGCTTTTTCCTGGCGCCATTCACCCATTCATCAATGTGTACCAGAGTCTCCTCTGAGCAGGCACCGTGACAGGTCCTAGGGCCCAGCATCATACACTAGAAGGTTCCTTGCTCAACCCAGGGGGACAAATCGTAAGCACAGAGATCACACCAGAGCCAAGAACCATGACTCCCACATACAAGGGCTCTCCCAGGGAACACGCTACCAAATGGGAGCTAGAGAACAAAGCAGGCAGCTGTGGAAAGAGCCTGAGCTGGTCCCAGGACCCGTCTGAGATGAACATCTGAAATACACACGCTCCTACTCCTGAGGGGGCATCTGAAATACATGTGCACATACTCCTGAGGAGACATCTGCAACACATGTGCACATACTCCTGAGGGAACCATCTGAAATATGAGTGCACACAGTCCCGACAAGTTTGAAGCTGCCTTCAATCTTCACATAAGCAAGAAAAAAGCCAGCAAGATGAACAGAGACAGGACCTGCAACTACGGGTGAGCTCGCATTCTTCTTCCCCCCTCCTTTCCAGAGGCCTAGAGCCCATATTTCCTGCCAATGGCTTGCTTTGTCTGAGGCTCTTGGCTCCCCTTGTCACTGTGTCGGGTCATTAAAAAAAAAAGTGCCACTAAAAGTTGCAGACCAACTTACTGAAGGCATTTTTGTTTCTGTGTGGGAAACAGTGTGTCATTGTGAAACAACCTGACGATGCATTTGAACATCATGGTAAATGAAAACTCCAAGTATGCAGTAGACTCCTCCCTTTTAACTCAGTACGGAAAATGAAATTGTCACAAAAAAACATCCTGTCTTATTACCCCCGTGTAACATGTCTGATATGAGGTTAAAGGATTCCTATATCGGCCGATTAAATCTCCCAATGACATTTTCTGCGGGGGTGGGGGTGTATTTTATCAACTTTTAAGGATCTAGCAATTTCTAACCAAATGTCACCTCATGAATGAATAACCAGAAACAAGCCAAAGTCATGGGGTTGGAGGACAGACTTGGGAGTGGCCGGAACAGAGGTACGTGTCCGTCTCAGCCGCCGGTGCCGCCCACACGCAGGAACCCACTCCTGGGGTACTAGGGGGCCTGCATGCAGGCCCTAGGTGAGAGGCCTGGTGCATCCCCAGGTCTGCAGCCCCACCCTGCCGTGAACGTCCAGTCCAGATGGGCAGGTCCAGCGGGGCTGGCCCTCAGGGGCCCGGACAGCGCAAGATGAGCCGTAAAGTCACCCCACGCAGGGCTGTGAAGGGGAAGCACGTTCAGGGTCAGGCTTACCAGGAGGAAGCGGGTATGGCCCAGTGACCACTGACCTCTGGGCTGGCCGGGCCTCTCCCACCTGGAACCGTGAAAGCCCAGTGACCACCAGGTGTCCACGACCTCTGCTGTTCCACGCTGGGTCCGGTAAGCTCTGGGATCCACGAGGCAGGAATGAAGAGACAGTCCACGGGGTCTGAGTCTGTGCTCTGGGGGTGAGAGCAAAGGTGAGCTGACCTTCCGCGCTGCCCAGGAACTGCCCCCTGGTCTCCGCGGACCCAGAGCCACAGAGGGTAGAGGTAGCGGGCATGCACCCTGGGCAGACGGTGGTGTCCGGAGCCCACAGCGGTCCCAGGCTGGATGCTGCCCCACTGCTCCCGCTCCCCCCCACTGTCCCAATGTCCACACTGTCCCCCACTGTTCCCCCACTGTCCTGCTGTCCCGCTGAGCCCCCCTGTTCCCTGCTGTCCCGCTGTCCAGCTGTCCCGCTGTCCCCCTGTCCCCCCGTCCCCACTTGTCCCTCTGTCCCTGCTGTCCCCTGCTGTCCCGCTGTCCCCCACTATCCCTGCTGTCCGGCTGTCCCCACTGTCCCTCTGTGTCTCTGTCCCGCTGTCCCTCTATCCCGCTGTTCCTCTGTCTGGCTGTCCCCTGTCCCGCTGTCCCTCTGTCCAGCTGTCCACGCTGTCCCTCTGTCCCGCTGTCCCTCTGTCCAGCTGTCCACGCTGTCCCTCTGTCCTGCTTTCCCTCTGTCCGGCTGTCCCCTGTCCGGCTGTCCCTCTGTCCCGCTGTCCCTCTGTCCCTGCTGTCCGGTTGTCCCTCTGTCCAGCTGTCCCGCTGTCCCTCTATCCCGCTGTTCCTCTGTCCGGCTGTCCCCTGTCCCGCTGTCCAGCTGTCCCGCTGTCCCCCTGTCCCCCCGTCCCCACTTGTCCCTCTGTCCCTGCTGTCCCCCACTATCTCTGCTGTCCGGCTGTCCCTCTGCCCCGCTGTGTCTCTGTCCCTGCTGTCCCTCTGTCCTGCCGTCCCGGCCTCCCGCCGGCGGGCCCGGCGCGCACTCACCCTCCGCAGGCCTGGGCGCCGCGTGGCCCGAGCCGAGCGGGTCCGGGCCGGCGCCGAACCGGAGCGCGAGCCCGAGGCGGGACACGCAGTCGGAGCCTGAGCCCGGACCCGGGCCGAACCGAGCCGGAGCGGGAGGAGCCGCGCGGGAGCCCGGCCGGTGTCCGAGCCGAAGCGGAGCCCAGGCCGGAGCCCGAGCCGGAGCCGGAACCCGCGCCGAGCCGGGCCGAGCCGGGCCCGAACGGCGCCAACCTCCCGGGGGCCTCGGCCCGCGGCCCACCCGGCACGGCCCGACACCAGCCGCCGCCGCCGGCCGCGCGCCCCCGCCCCACGCGCGCCCCCGACACGCGCGCCCCCGCCCCACGCGCGCCCCCGGCACGCGCGCTGCCCGGCCCTGCCCTGGCGCCTGGCCTGCCGCGGAAAGTGGCTGCCCAGAGGCCCCGGCCCGCAGCGCGTCCCCCCCAGCGCGTCCGCAGCTCCCTGGGCCTCTCCCGGCGGCTGGGCTCTGGCCTGCCCTGGTCTGCCCTGGCCTGTCCTGGCCTCCCCTGGCCTCTCCTGGCCTTCCCCGGTGGGCTGCACCCTGGCCTCCCCTGGCCTTCCCCGGCGGGCTGCACCCTGGCCTCTCCTGGCCTCCCTGCTGGGCTGCACCCTGGCCTCTCCTGGCCTCCCTGATGGGCTGCACCCTGGCCTCTCCTGGCCTCCCTGCTGGGCTGCACCCTGGCCTCTCCTGGCCTCCCTGCTGGGCTGCACCCTGGCCTCTCCTGGCCTCCCTGCTGGGCTGCACCCTGGCCTCTCCTGGCCTTCCCCGGTGGGCAGCACCCTGACTTCCCTGCCCTGACCTGCCCACGCACCAGTCTGTTACCAGGTTGGATGTATCCCTTTCAAAATTCCAGGGACAGTCAATGACATAGAATAACACTGTTCAAATGAGTGTGAAACCATAAAATTCCCCCAAATAACCAAAACAGTACTGGCGAGAAAATTGTTTGGTTAATATAATAGGATAGCATGAAGTCAAGGAATACAATAAAGAACCTGCAAGGTATTGTATTCCTTTACTTCATGATACACTGTAAGATTATAATAACCAAACAATATGGTACTGAAATAAAATGGTAATATAATTATCAAAACAGTATGGCACTGGAACAAAATTCATGCCAATAGGATAAAATTCAGAGCCTGGACATAAACTCACAGGTAATCAATAATAAAGGAGCAGGGTGCATTAGGCTGGGGAGAGAGAGAGAGAGAGAGAGAGAGAGAGAGAGAGAGAGAGAGAGAGAGGAAATAAACTGTACTTAAATATCACACCATAGACAAAGGTCAACTGATGATGGATTAAGAGCCTTGATATTAAGCCAAAATCCATTAAAAAAAACATTGAGGCAAATACAGCAAATTTCTCCATGAAATCAACTCTATTGACAAAGAAAATAAAAGCAAAAAATAAACAAATGGGATCTTTCCAAAAACAAATGAGGAAGAAAAAGAAAAAATGTATACATACACCCCTTGAAATACTACTCAGCTGTAGGGGAAAAAAATGATAAAATCATGAAAGTTGCTAATTTGCTGCTCTGTGGATGAGAGAAGTTGGCCAGAAGGATGACCTGGCACAGAAGGATCTCTCTCATGTGTAGAATACAAAGAAAGAGCAGGGTAATGAGAGAGACCTGAGCACTGGTCCCAGAGCTGAGTTTGCCAGAATGGAGGCTGAAGGGGTTGGTGGTAGTTGAGGGGGATGGGGGGTTAGGTGCTCTGTGGAGTACCTTGTGGGATATTGTGTTCTGAAACCCTGTTATTTTTTTTTTAATTTTAGTGAATCACCGTGAGATAGTTACAAGCTTTCATATTTGAGTCATAATCACACAATGATCAAACACCCGTCCCTCCACCAGTGCACATTCCCCACCACCAACATCCCCAGGAGACCCCCCCCCCCTTTCCCACCCTCCCCCTGCCTCCATGGCAGACAATATTCCCCATACTCTCTCTCTACTTTTGGGCATTGTGGTTTGCAATACAGACCCTGAGAGGTTATCATGTTTGTTCCTTTATATGCTCTCTGCAAACATCTCCCATCCTGACCGATTCCTTCAGCCATCATTTTCTTAGTGATCCCTTCTCTATTCCAGATGCCTCCTCCCCTTTGCTCATAAGCAGGCTTCCAGCTATGGAGCAATCTTCCTGTCCCATGTATCTACTATCCTTAGGTGTCAGCCTCATGTTATGCTGTCTGAAAGCCTGTTATTAACAGCTCATAAATCATGGAGCCTACATTTATTTTAGTGGAACTATACCCAACTAAAAAGCTTTCGCCTTTTTAGTCAAAGAAACTAGGGTTAAAATTTTTTTCAAAATGAAACACTGACGAAAGGGAGAAATATTTTCATGTGTAACATCGGATAAAAGATGAATTCCCAAGATATACAAAACACTCACACAATCAACAACAACAAAAACCAACCCATTAACAAATCGGGAAACAAACTTCCCCCCAAAAAAGATAAATCAGTTAGCAGGCATATGAAAAAGTGTTCATCGTAATTGGTGATAGTAATTATAATAACTGGTTCTATTAATACTTTTAGTAGTTATAACAATAATAACCAGGGAAATTAAAATGAAGGCAATGAGCTACCACCTCACACCAATGACAATGATTTCTACCAAAAAGACTGGAAACAACCAGTGTCAGATGTAGTAAGACTGTTGGTGGGCTGTCATCTGGTTTGATGTCTATAAAGAACAATATGGAGATTTTTCTGAAAAGTAATAACAGAGTTTCCATGTGACCCAGCAGCTCCGACCTTGGCCTCCATGCCAGGACAGCAGGCCCATGAGCTCGTAACGCCATGCCCAACAAGGACCTGTTCTTTCCCATTCTGCTCAGGGTGACAGTTCTAAGGAATGAAAAACACAACAGCTATGACCTCCAGAAGTGTTACAACCTTGGTGTGAAAGCCAATCCTTGAAGCACTGGGTGGTTTATTGCCCTGAAAAGGGGGTACTTGTAGTTATGAAAACGATTCCCACACAGGACAAATATTACACACAAAATTTTTATCAAACTTCCAAGCAATCATTGTCTCTTTTTATAGACCATCGCTTCTTCTCTCAATGAATTGGTTCTTCCCTAATTATAAGAAAGATGGAGTTTGCCAGGCTGAAGCGATAGCACAGCTGGTAGGGCGTTTGCCTTGCAAGCGGCCAACATGGCCGACATGAGTTCGATTCCTCCACCCCTCTCGGAGATCCCAGCAAGCTACTGAGAGTATCTCGCCCGCACGGCAAAGCCTGGCAAGCTGCCCATGACGTATTCATTCTGCCAAACACAATAATGATTATCACAATGGAGACATTACTGGGCCCACTCGAGCAAATCGATGAACAACGGGAGGACAGTGACAGTGACAGTGACAGTGGAGTTTGCCATTCCAGAATTTCATTTTTAACATGTGTACTAAGATGAAAGATTTAAAGATGGCAAGTGGTTTACTTGGTCTTTGGGACACTCATTCATGTGTCCATGGAGACCTTTCTCTGGCTGGAATTATTGTTAAGAAGATATTTGCTTTTAAAAAAAAAGACATTTGCTTCACAAGGATTTGTATACACACAAACACACATATGAGAAGCATAAGTAAATTTGGAGCATAAGTGTTACATGGAATATTATGTGGAATTTGAGGGTCCTAGCTCTGGTAATCAGAAAATGCTTGTTCAATCCCTATTCTACCACATATGCCCTCGCCAAGTTCTTTCATCCCCTTGTGTTTCTAATTTATTGCTCTGTCCTCCCGTTGTTCATAGATTTGCTCGAGCGGGCCCAGTAATGTCTCCGTTGTAAGACTTGTTGTCACCATGTTTGGCATATCGAATAAGTCCCAGTTAGCTTGCCAGGCTTTGCCATGAGGGTGAGATACTCTTGGTAGCTTGCCGGGCTCTCTGAGAGGGGCAGAGGAATCGAACTCAGGTCAGCCAAGTTGGCCACGTGCAAGGCAAACACCCTAACGCTGTGCTATTGCTTCAGCCCTTTCATTGCTCATAAAATGATAAGCTATACAATATCAACTCCAGAATTTAGTACTAAGTAACAGAGACAATGCATTCAGAGTCTATAGGACTGTTGTTCCAAGCAGTAAGTATTGCAATAATATTAGCCACTTACTTGGGTTGAAAAGAGAGTCCAGCAGATAGACTTTCCTTGGCATGGAGTCGAACTGGGTCAGCTCCTGGCATGCCCCACCAGGAGTGATCCCTGATCACAGAGCCAGGAGTAAGCTCCAAACACAGCCATACTTTGCCCCCAAACAGAAAAGTATTAATAATACAAACTACATGTATTACTGCTATTTATTATTTATTCGCAAGATGTCATTCAAATATTCAAGGATTCATTTTTACCTTGGGCCCGACATATTGGCAACGAAGGTAGTATTTCTTCTGAGATTTCTTATAACCTATTACTTTTTTCTTGGTGTCAAAACTAACTTCCACACTTAATTGTATCAATGTTTTAAATTTTTTTGTTCTATAAATGAACTTCAGCAAGCATTAGTATTTATCTTTAAAGCAGGAGAATTGAATACGGAAGTTCTCAGAGTGTCACCCTCAGAAGGACTCCAAGATCCTTTTAAGGGGTTTCCAAGGTTAAGAGAGTTCTTACAATAGTAGAATATTCTTTGCCTTCTTCACCGCTTGGGCCTTTACCCTGATGGTACAAAAGTAGTGGAGGATAAAGTTGGAGACATAGAACAAAGTTAGCCAGTGGAACAGAACAGAGTGACAGCTGGCCTTCGCGGGGCGTGTCAGGGACACTGCATTCCTGTGCCCTGAAAAATACCCATAACTTTTGACTTTGCCCAAACTTTACCTCCTTGGTATCCCCAAGAATCGATTTCAGAACTCTCCTTGCCTGGGACACTCAAGCCCCTGAGAGGAGGCTTCTGTGGCAGGGACAGGGGTGGGGTTGGAGGGAGTCCTATACACGGGGTGTGCTCTTCACACGGATAAATCCAAGGTGACTCTGGTGTCACACGCTCTTCAGCGGCTCACTTGCCGTGGGGACATACCAGACCTGCACATCACCGAGGAG